AATTCCCAAAATTTGGTGTGACAATCTAACTGCAAGTGCATTGGCCTTAAATCCATTGTATCATGCATGCACTAAGCATATAGAATTGAATGCCCACTTTGTACGAGACAAAGTTTGGAGGAAAGAATTGGAAATACACTATGTACCATCTTTAGATCAGACGACAGACTTACTGACAAAACATCTTATTCATTCAAGTTCGGAGGAAAGGATTGGAAATACACTATGTAGAGACACACTCCACCTTAAGAAGGAGTGTTAGAATTGATCAACTAGCTATGAGGAATCTTCCATGGTGTCGGGTTGTTGACCTCTATAACAGCATTCATAATGTAGGGCGGTGTATTCCCTGATTTCTAGGAATTGGAGTATATTTCATTGGACACTTAGCATCAGTGTATAGGTAGGAATAGTATATTCCTTTTTTGTGCCTAAATTTTTTTGCATTGCAATTTTGTATACAAGGAGAATGAGAGAAAGAGATCATTGAGTTGAAATTTCAACATGAATATTATAATTTCTTACTATGGACAATGTGAGTAATCTTTTGTGATGTTTGAGGTTGTGTTTTCTTGGTAATGGTGGGATTTAATTTACTTATTGAATATCATTTCTCAAGCAACAAGCTTTAATGCAAGAGCTTTCAATGCAGTTTGCGTCTCCTTGGTATATTCATATGGCATAATGCAGTTCTCTTCAGTGGCGTGCATCTCCTTGGTATATTCAAATGGCATTCCACAAATAAAATAAATATAAATATATAAGAAAACAAACAAACAAGTAAATAAAAAATAAAAAGAAAAATAAGTTGAAAATAACGAAAACAATAAATTTTTGTGTGCTTAGTTGCATTTAAGTCATGGAATTGGCATTTTGTTGTTTTCCTCTCATGACCTTAAAATTTTTCATTTGTTTGCTCCACATTAAGTGTTAGTCTCATATTTGATGGGTTTTTTTCAAAACTCTTTTTTTACACTCATTTTCAATCATACATTTATACAATCAAATATTCTTTATGTAAATTTAAAACTTTTCCCTACTTTATAACCACACATTCTCAAAATATTCAATATACCAAGTGTGTGTTCAGTCACCTCAATTGGTGCAACATTTGCTATATATTTAGTCATCGCAGAGCCCTCCACCTTTGGCTTAGATGTTCTACACGGTGCTCTCTACCTCTTAATTACATGGATCTATTTGGAGAAGCTAAAGATGGATCACGGATGAACAGGGGACTTGGACCTTCAAACGTCATGTTCCGACATACTAATGCTTCGTACTTACATCTCTATGAACCTAGTCATAAATAGAAAAACATGCAATGACCATCGAGATAATTTTTATGGATGGAAAGTGGAAATTTGGACCATGCACAAAAGGATATATGTGCACACAATTTAATAGTTTGAGGGTTTGATCAACAAAATTTTTTTCTCGAGGATTCAAATTGCTACTAAAAATATGACTGCACTATATGAAGCATTATTGTATCTTGTCCCTTGTTGGACATTTCAATTTTGTACAAAATTCATTTTTAATTGTTGAAAAATGAAGATTTTGAGGAGTTGCACATTGTGGAAATCACGAGGATATGACTTATTTGTTAAGTTTAATTTGGATCATTGTTTGCCAAAAAGTGAAAGGATGTTATTATTTTTGAATGTTAATGTTTATTTGGAGAAAATGGTGATTATGAACGTTATGGTGTGTTTGATTGCAAGTATGAAACTTGCATGAAAAGAACATTTATTTGCATGAAAATTGTCAATTAAATGTATTGGATTGGTTTAATTTTCAATCTAGAAAATACTGTGTTTTTCCATAAAGTTGAGTTTTTGAGAAATGTGAATTGTCTAGAAAATAAAAATCTACGCCCCGTAAAAAAAGATTTTTCCTCATTTTTGAAAAAAATGATGACATGACCAACTTATGAAAAATATTTTTCATGAAAAAATTGACAATCATACACCTTAAAAAGTAAGAACTTGAGGTAAATAAAAAAAAAATGAAGATATTTTCCATGAACAATAAAGTCAACCAAACACACACTAAGTTTTAGAATTGTTATGAAATTTATTAATCATAGAACTAACCCGTTTCAAATGGTGATGATGAATATTAAAGTTATGAGAACATGTGACTACTTTAAGGTCCTATGATATTTAAAAGATTTAGATATTAAAATCTAGAAGATATCATATCCATAACTGAACTTATACAAAAATCATTTATAATAGTTTTAAAGTAATCAAAATATTTCTCAATGGGTTAATTTCACAAACAGTCATTGAATTTACGTAAAAATAACAAAACTGTCACTGAAGTTCAAAACTTACATAAACGGTCACTGAAATTTCATGAGCTTTCACAAACGGTCACTGAAGGACCGTTATAACTTGAATTCAAACATAAAGGATCAAAGTGAGCACAACCGAATTTCGGACAGCTTGAAGGTGCCAACTTTGGACCACCATAACTCCGTCCTCCGACCACCTTTTTCCACGGACCAATATACCATATTGAAGCCTTCAATACCCTCTTAACAACCAACCCAACCAATGGCATTGATCCCATCGGAATTGGCCGAAAATCGCGCCAAAGTGAGCTACCCAGATTTTGGACAGCTTTTGATGCCAACTTTGGACCACTATAACTCCATCTTCCGGCCCCCTTTTTCCACGAACCAATTTACCATATTGAAACCCTCAATGCCCTCTTAAAAACCCAGCCAACCACCTGCCGTGATCCCGTCTGAATTGACCGGAAAAAAGAGCCAAAGTAGGCTACCCACGCACAGTCGAATCATGGAATTAGCATTTTGTTGTTTTCCTCTCATGACCTTAACATTTTCCATTTGTTTGCTCCATATTAAGTTTTAGTCTCATATTTGATGGGTTTTTTTTCAAAACTCTTTTTTTTACACTCATTTTCAATTATGCATTTATACAATAAAATATTTTTCACGTAAATTTAAAACTTTTCCCTACTTTATAACCACACATTCTCAAAATATTCAATATACCAAGTGTGTGTGTGTGTTCAGTCCCCCAATTGGTGCAACATTTGCTATATATTTAGTCATCGCAGAGCCCTCCACCTTTGGCTTAGATGTTCTACACGGTGCTCTCTACCTCTTAATTACATGGATCTATTTGGAGAAGCTAAAGATGGATCACGGATGAACAGGGGACTTGGACCTTCAAACGTCATGTTCCGACATACTAATGCTTCGTACTTACATCTCTATGAACCTAGTCATAAATAGAAAAACATGCAATGACCATCGAGATAATTTTTATGGATGGAAAGTGGAAATTTGGACCATGCACAAAAGGATATATGTGCACGCAATTTAATAGTTTGAGGGTTTGATCAACAAAATTTTTTTCTCGAGGATTCAAATTGCTACTAAAAATATGACTGCACTATATGAAGCATTATTGTATCTTGTCCCTTGTTGGACATTTCAATTTTGTACAAAATTCATTTTTAATTGTTGAAAAATGAAGATTTTGAGGAGTTGCACATTGTGGAAATCACGAGGATATGACTTATTTGTTAAGTTTAATTTGGATCATTGTTTGCCAAAAAGTGAAAGGTTGTTATTATTTTTGAATGTTAATGTTTATTTGGAGAAAATGGTGATTATGAACGTTATGGTGTGTTTGATTGCAAGTATGAAACTTGCATGAAAAGAACATTTATTTGCATGAAAATTGTCAATTAAATGTATTGGATTGATTTAATTTTCAATCTAGAAAATACTGTGTTTTTCCATAAAGTTGAGTTTTGGGGAAATGTGAATTGTCTAGAAAATAAAAATCTACGCCCTATAAAAAAAGATTTTTCCTCATTTTTGAAAAAAATGATGACATGACCAAGTTATGAAAAATATTTTTCATGAAAAAATTGACAATCATACACCTTAAAAAGTAAGAACTTGAGGTAAATAAAAAAAAAATGAAGAATTCGCAACAACAAATTGGGATAGATTCTCTTTTAAATTAGCCATTGCTTAGTTCAGCTAAAAACATGAATTAAATTTAAGTTAAAATCAATAATTTATTCTAATTACACTTTTCATGAGATCAACAACACACCCTATCAATTTTTAGTTTTACTAAAAATATGATTTTCATATAAATCAAACATGTGCTTGATTTAAGAATAATACAATCTAATATCAGTAGTGTTAGAACACCAATTTATGTGGTTAAATTTAAAAATTCAATTAAATGAGTCAAATAACTTTGTATTTAATGAATTTATCATTTAATGTCATATAATTGTCATCTAGATTGATGTTTAATATCAGTGGTGATGAATATCATTATTCTTAACTTAAGGCCTAGACGATTCCATATAAAATGATTTCCTAGCTAAAAACATGAAAGTCCTCAATTGAAAAGAAAAGAGAAGTTAATGATTCAAATGTCAATGATCCTAATTTCGAGAACAATAACTGCAATTTTAAATTTTCTCGCTTAGATAATCGCAAATAATGCATGGATGCTTTGAGCAAAGCCGACAAGTCAACCAGGCCATTCATGGTGACACAATGGGCCTATTCTGGGTGACATAAATATGAATGAATTTATATTGCTTTTTCCTAAAAAGAAAATTAAAAAGAATGCAAGTTTGATCGAAGATTGAAGACAAGGAAAAACCATGTTCGCACATTTCAGTCCCCGAGGTTACAGGCTCGTATGATAGGCCAATCTGATTCCAGTCCGACGTTGAGCAAGTGAATGACTCGATCCGAGCCCGTTTAACAACCTGTCCTCTTCATTTAAATCATACGCCATAATTAAAATACGGGAAAATTAGTTAAACCTCCAAAACCTGCACTTCCCCCTTCCCCACCGCTTCCCTTCAAAAAAAAAAAAAAAAATTAAAACCAAATTAACAGAGTAGCGTTGAGAAGATTCGAGTTCGATGCGATCTTGTTGGTCTGTTCCGGCCAATGGTGCGGCGGAGGAATTACTCCGTCTATGAGAATGGTGCAGATGACGTGGCAGCGTAGCTTTCTCAAGAGGAAGTCGCCGTTAGGGCTCAAAAACCTCGGTAACAGCTGCTACCTCAATTCAGTGCTCCAGTGCCTCACTTATACCCCTCCCCTCGCTAATTTCTGCCTCAGATTTCTCCATTCCTCCAACTGTAAGCCTCCAATTATATTTCTATTTACTCGTTTGTTTGTTTACCATAATAAATTACTCAATTCACTATACATATAACAATTGCATCTGTATATTATTTATTCCACCTAACAACTATGCTCTCTCGCCTGTATATGTGCTTAATTGTATCTACATGTTTTTTTTTTTTTCTATGGATTTTAGCTAATCTTATGCATACTCATGGTTGTATTAAATGGATGTCCAACGAGATAATATTTAATCTGTAATATTAGAGTTGATTCTCCTGAAAATGATATCATTTCAGGGCCGGAATTGATGTTTCTGACAGGAAATAGTTGATAAAATTCTAGAAGAGTTGCTTTATAATATGTTATGGGGAGGGATTATATTAATTTTTTCTTTTTTCTTCTCATGAGAGTTGTTGTAAATATGATCTTATCTTATTCATGAATAGATTCAGATTAGGCACAAAAAAAACAATCACCAATGAAAACTTGCTTGCTGGTTTGTTGATTTTTAAGTGTTAGGCACAGTGAATATAGTTAGTGAAGAATATTTGTATAAACAATGTTCTGAAAGTAAGGACGAGGATACAAGTTTTAACTAACAAAGTAATGAAAGAGAGTAAATACATGGAGATTGAAGCAAACAATAGATTTGTGTTCACAACTTAAATCCCAACAAACCAGAAACTTATGATTGTAAAATAAAGATCAATTTTAACAGTAATGTCCTTCAAAGCTAATAGTTATGTTTGCTAAATGCATCAGTTACTTAGTTACACTGCCTTTTTTGCTTCCATGAGAAATGAAATAACTGGAGATGACAAATTCATCTGACATGCTTTGCATTGAGTGTGAATGCAATAGTAAAACCCTTCACTGTCGGAGTAAACAAAAATCCCAATGAAACAAATAGTGTTACCAATGAAGAAGAGCTTGAAATAAGGCATTAAATTCCAGATCATGCATTGATTGTCCATAACTTTTCAGTAAAAAGGCCACAGTTGGCAACAACTCTTAACTAAAAAGCCACCGATCTTCCATCTCGACTTGGCACAACTCCTATCCCTACATGAGATGTGTCGCACTCCACAACAAAGATTTTGTCAAAATCTGTTAGTACTAGAATTGGTGCTTTTTGCCGATCGAACTTCTAATCCACCACGCATGGGATTGACTAAAATAGTCCAGAGAGCTCAAACTCTTAATTTCTTTTTCCTGCTAACTTTTAGTTACTAGGAAAAGTAATCTTAGTTCTAGTTGAGAAGCTAATATAAATGCCAATTATCAGGCTAAATGCAATCCTAATTTCTAACCAATAAGGACTCAAGTACAATTATAAGAATGAGAACACTGTTCTGGCAATGATTTGTAAATAAATTAACTTTTAATTGTGCATCAAGTGGCTTGAGCATGCTGGATGTATTGGTTTTCTAACTTAATAAATCACGTATAAGGATTAGATTATCTCCAGAATGATGCCTTTTACCATCAATTCACTTTATACATAGTTAGAATAATTTAGAAGAAAAATGTAACTATGTATTTATTTTTGTATAAGTAGTAAGAGCGTCTCTTTAAACATAATATGCTATCTGTTTTAAAGAGATTACTCTTAAAATTATGCTCCAAAAAACTCTTTAAATTAACATTTTAAAATAGAGAGTGAGAGCCAAACTCAGTCTCTATAATTAAATACTTTCAAAGTATTTCATTTTCAATTGAGGAAAATAATACAATAATTTGAAGGGAAGCTAGTGAAAATAAAATATTTGGACAAATAATATATATTTTTTGGGAGCAGTAAAAGTAAGTGTTAGAGATAAAGAGCATGTTGAAATATTTAAAAAATTTTACTCTCTAAATTTATAGATTCTCTTTAAATTGCTAAATATGCTCTTTAAAAATAATCTCTTGGAGATGCTCTAAAAATAGTTTCAGCACCTTATCAACTAATGTGTCGAAAAATAAACTAGTTAAATATTATCTGAAAATAAATGTGAGGAATAATTAACCTTCAAGAGAGTTGGGTCTCATATGATGAAAAAAAAAGAATGGACCAGAAATGCTGAATAACAAACACCTATTTTTTTATATTATAATGCATCCCAAGTATCATAGAAGTATTACGTGGGGCAATTCCCCCCCACCTTAAAACCTCCTCAGACTTGATTTTCAGAGAAACTCCCCAACATTCTCTTATTCTTTAAATAAACTTTAGGTGAACTAAGATATAATGGTAACTTAGGAACAAATAAAAGTATGTATATTTTCTGTTTCCTATGACTCTATACATGTTGGAGTAACGTATTTCTGTAACTATACGGACAGTTTATTAACTGCCAATATTTTTCACAGGTGATGTAGGGGCATCGAAGGAGAAGAAGAGCGAGTGCCCGTTTTGCATATTAGAAAAACGGATTGTACGTTCATTGAGCACTGAAGCAGCATTAGATACGCCTTTAAAAATCAACAGCTGTTTGAGGATATTTGCGGAGCATTTTAAGGTGGGGAGACAAGAGGATGCACATGAATTTTTGCGCTATGTAATCGATGCTTGTCACAGTACGTGTTTGAGGTTGAAGAAGTTAAAGCTACAGAGGAGGAAGGGTGGGGTTGAGAATGGAGGAAACAGTGGTGGGAGTGGCAATACAGTGGTTAAGGAGATATTTGGTGGGGCTTTGCAAAGCCAAGTGAAATGTTTATCGTGTGGGTCAGAGTCAAATAAGGTGGATGACATTATGGACATTAGTCTTGATGTTTTGCATAGTGGCTCACTTAAAGATGCTTTACAAAGGTTTTTCCAGCCTGAGGTCCTGGATGGTAACAATAAATACAAGTGTGACAAGTAAGCATTTCAAACTCTCTTAACCAAACCAGCATATGTATATACAAAGATGCATATATCCACAAATATGTACACATGCTCACCTGCATGTTAATACTCACGCGCATTGTGTTATCCTCACATGCACATTGTGTTATCCACACATGCATGCATCTATGTGTTTACACACATATGCTACATGATTCAAATGCACCGCATCCCTACATAAGCGCTAACACACTTACACGTATGGTCACATGGCGTTCGTTATGCATCCATGTATTTCGAAGTGTTGCTTATGCATGTGGATGGAAAACTTATGCTTGTTTAGTTGTAAGAAATTGGTGGCAGCAAGGAAGCAAATGTCAATTCTTCAGGCACCAAATGTGCTTGTAATCCAATTCAAGGTGTGGCAATCACTGAATTATATTTTGTTTATGCTCTGATTTTAGATGCTCGTAAAATCTGATAATATAATGTTTTGGGCTTTTTGCAGAGATTTGAGGGCATGTTTGGTGGGAAGATAGATAAGCCCATTGCTTTTGAGGAGGCTCTGGTGCTTTCAAGTTACATGTGCAAAACAAGCCAGGTATGTTTTGTAATGATTGTTGATGTAATATAGTTCTTAATTACATTGGTGGTGTCTTTCTATCCCCAAGAGAAAATGTAACGCTTCGAATCCTAGCTATCCTAGTTGTTACCAAAAACGTTATATCTATTTAGATAACCATGCCTCAATTTTTTTTGGTTAAAGATGCGAAAATTTTATATTTAACTTCAAAAACTTTTGATGAAATTTTTTGATCAAACGGGCAGTTTTAGGAAGCATACGGTTATGGAGAAAATGAAACATTTAGACTCTGAAATTTAACAAAAGAGTAACGACATATACAGTTGTTACATATTCGAAAATCAAGTCCAAATTCCATCAATAAGTCGACCAAATAATTTTCCAAACATATCAATTTCCCGAAATCAGACTACAGCAGTTTACAAAAACACTCATAACTTAAAATATACTTAATGAAATCTCCTGATTCCAAAACTGGACGTTAGATAACCCCTTTGGGCTAACTTCTCCATTTGAAATCAATCCAAAATCCGGAACACACAATTTACAAAGAATTTTTGGAAAGTCTGGAAAAACTGGACAGCTATAACGAAATTAACTTTTTTTAAAATCATCAATTCCGTCTCAGAAATGAATATCCCATTAGTAAAAAAAATCAGTTTTAATAGAAATCAAATCTTCATTTACTGAAATAATGGAATTGTTGGAAATAATGAAATAACAAACTACTATCGTTCGTTGGTTGTGAACTCTCCTCCAAGACCCTCCTTCCACCACTGCTCTAACGTTTTTATTTCTTGAAACATTGTAAGATAGAGGGGATGATTATAAAATACTCAACAATGTACTTGAAAGATGCCATTAACAAAAAATGATACAATTTATGGATATGAGCTTGCTTATTTAATGTTTACTTCTAATAATTGTCGAAACCATGCAATCGACAATTTCAGCACGTATGGCCAATGAAAGGAAACACTGGCCGTCGGCCGTCCCCAAAAATCTGAAGGTTTTTCTACTATTGAATATGGGCATAATTACCCAGTCTAATCTACTAGTTGGATCCATAAATGCTACAATATATTAGCACTTGAATTATAATCATAAACAAACGTAGTGGACAATTTCATGAAACACCCCACCTTAAGTTGTTTAACAATAATAAATCTTGGATTCTGAATTTGGAGAATAAATTGGCATAATTTGAAATTCTAGTGTTGCAGCCCTCGAAACCTTGAACTTTCAATATAATAATGGACAAACATTGAGATCTTGAACTAGGCCAAGATGGATGAGAAAACGGCTTCTCCTTAAAATTCTTCTAAAACTGTATGGCTCGTTCTTTATCTTTTAGTGAACTTTTTAGTGTTGGAATGTTTGTTGTGTTTATGCACAATTGAGGAATAATTGGTTTTGAATATGATTACACATTAGAGTCCTAAGTGGAGAAGGTCCCTCATCCATGCAAGCACAAACCAACAAAATATTAGTTAGAAAAATTTCCTCATCTATGCTTGCAAAAGCCAACAGAATATTAATAGGAAAAGGATTTTTAAAGTTGAGTTTAATATATCATGAGTTTTGTTGGTATATGGAGGGTAGCATATAATAATTAATAAAACTACACCACCTAACTCATTTAAAATTACTGGTGGGAGATTATATGGATGACTTGTTTTTGTAATTAAAGAAGTCTTAATTCTAATTCCTGAGCAATATGGTCCAAAATGTGATATGGTAATATGATGCAAATAGGAGCTTATCTTATTTCCTAACTAGTTTAAATTAATTAGAAATCCTTCACTAATTTAACTACTAAAATAATTGTAAACTTGCTAAAGTTCAAAACCACATAATATAGGATTTACCAATGTTTATAAAACCAAACCGGATCGGCTGGTTCAACGGGACCAAAATCTGGTCCAATTATACTAAAATAACCGGTCAATTAAACTGAGAACCAGTCATGGTTTTGGACCGGTTTCCAAAACTTTTTTTAGAAAAAAAAAATATATATATATAATAAAAAGGTTACCTTAGAGATGGACCCATTTACCCACTTTTCTACCTATAGAGCTCTTTTATAACCATTTCTTGAGTCTCATAATTGATCAATACCCTCAGGGCCACTGAGGTGAGTACCCGATCGTAAACTTCAGGGTCCCGTGGAATTAGTCGAGGTGCGTACAAGGTGGCCCGGATATCCACGGTTATAAAAAAAAAATAATAATAATAATAATAATTGATGAACTTTCAATGTGGGATTGACAAAATTCAATAAAACACACTTTCAATACACTTTCAATGTGGGATTGACAAATTTCAATAAAACAACCATTTTCAATATTATTTATGGCCTCATGGTGCATGACAACAAAATTATGCTAAATATTTTTTTAATCTTACAAATTATTTAGTAAAATTGAAATGAGTTTTTAAGTGAACTAACAAATTAAAACATATTAAAATTTATATTAAAAAACATACATTTGACATATTTGTATTTATTATGAATTGATGGTGTAAAAACTTAATTATATATTGTTGTGAAAATAAAATTTAAATATTTATAAATATTTATTTATTACCTCAGGTTTGGCCCCGGTTCGACCTCGATTGAACCTTAACCCTTTCTCTCTTTTGGGTCAATTCCCGATTGGGTTTTAAAATATTGGGATTTACATATAATTCTATCCTAAATAAAATAGATTTCAATCTCAAATCCTATTTCAATTAAACTAATAGTTTAATTCGGATCCCATATGACTATCGAAGCGATTAATTTTCTTAATCACTACTTTACATGGTTTATTTTAAGTCACCTTAATTTAGACCTAACTTGCAGAAAACAACTTTTCCTAGAGCCCAATATACGTAATTTAACATAAGCTACAAAACGCTTCCAATATTGATACGCTAATTCTCTCTCCTTCAATAACTAAATATTTAAATAATCGACTCGAGTTTATTTTCACTTCGATCCCTCAACATCTTTTTGAATCAATTTTTTATACTAATCTAAAAATGGATATGGTGGCAAATTCAACTAAGTCAATGCAAGTTATACGAGAAAGTTAGCAAAATGAAAAGGCCTAGGGAATTATTTACCGCACTATTAACGATGTTTCTCAAATTATGTTACTAATATCAATTTTCTTAAGTTTATAAGCAATAACCCTAAATTAATTCTATTATCTCTCTTGAGTGCCGAATAGAACCTATTTCTATATTTTAATTCCAACATCTCTATTTCGAATTAAAATCTCGAGCTAATCGCGTTCGTGGTTCTTAAGTGGAACATACTTCAAAGATTTCATACTTTCTCTCAAAACCAATAAAATCTAGGTTGTGTTATTCTTAGATCGCGCCTAAATTTCTCTCCCTTGAGTGCCAAAATTTAAAGCATCTAATCATTCAATTATTGATCAGGTAATTGAAAGCAATGTGCAAGAATCAACACAAATAAACTTATGGAAAAAATGAAAGAAATACTTATATTAAAATCCAAACATATCTCAAGTTATGGCTACATCAAACCTTATATTAGAAATTTAGAACATGATTAATGCAATACACATAATCAAATTCAATATAAAAAACATAGTGAAGAAAAGAAATAAAAACTGGTTTGGCACTGGAATTCTTCTTCTCGTGGTTGCCTCCTTTTTATCTAGATCAATCTCTTGTTTTCTTGCCTCGTGTGGTGTTAAATTCCCCTCAAAGTGGTCTCTAGGGTTGTTTTTATAGTCTTCTCCAGTTTTCTATGAATAGGGGACGGACCGGGCTTTAAAAGAATCCAGAAAATTTAAAAAGAAACCTTTCTCTCTGGCGGCGCTGCGAATCGTCAGCGCCAGACTTTTGCCTCCTTTATGTTTTCCTTCTCTTTCTTTTGATTATTTTTCTTTCCATCCTCTAAGATTAATTCCGGGCTTCTTCCCGTCCACCCGCACTCATATTAACTTTGGCTCATTTTCAGCTCCAAACTCTCCATCTTCACCAAGTTACTTAGCCTGTAAAACAACACGAACAAAAACATCAAAACGTTCTAAATTGTTCAAAGACAACCAAAATATCAAGTTTTAAGTGGCATTAAACAATGAGTGAAACTCACTCATCAGTGGTCATTCTACTTCCACCTAATTTTTATATCTCTCACCCTCGTGTTCAAGCCCCTCCTAATCTCAAGACATGGCTCTCTTCTTCTATACCTCATTCTGATCAATCAAAGACCTTGCATTTTCCCTACTTTCTGTAGTTGACTTCATGCTTGCTTCAACTTTGATACTCCTAGTGCGTTTTAAAATATTGTGGTTTCCTGCATGTTCCTTTAGAAGTTCATCCGAATGGCTCTCAAAGCATTTTTTTTTAACTGGTTTTCTTCACATCCTCGTCCTGTTATTTTTTACTTATGGTGTTTTACTCGTTTAATTTCTGAGGCAAGCCTAGTGAAGCAAAAATGAATTTCATTACTTAGAATAAGTTATTATTAAACTATAATTGGCCTGCAATCTGCTCTTCATGTATGTTGTTAAACCATCCAGGAGTTGTGTACTATAACCGTCCTCTATATTGCTGCAGCTAGGTGTATTAGAATTTTCATGTGCTGCAATCTAGAGTTTTATTGTTTTTGGAAATTTAGAATGTATTTGAACTGATTGTCATTTACTTACACTTCAAGTGATTGAAAATTCGAAGCAAGATATGTTTAATGGTGATGTTAAAGAATTTAATCTGGATTGCATTCCTTATCATATCATGCATTATAATATGACTTTTAATTGGAATTCAAAATGCTGTTTAGCTTTTATACTTTACTGTAGAATATATTTCTTTGGCTTTTGCAGGATCCATATCCGGAGTACAATCTATTTGGCACCATCGTACATTCAGGCTATTCGCCCGATTCTGGGCACTATTATGCATATATCAAGGTCTTGCCTGCTCATCTAAGTCAGTTAAATTGTGTATTTTCTTAATGTAAGTTCAAGTCAAATGGCAACACTTTTCATGGGCTGATTTCATTTTCAAACTTTCAGGATGCATTGGGCCATTGGTACTGCTGCAATGATTCTTATGTTTCACTCTCTACATTGAGTGAGGTTTTGTCAGAAAAGGTCTATATCCTTTTCTTCTCTCGTACGAAACAGAGGCCACGACCACCCAACGCAGATTTGGTAGCCAATGGATTAATGCCCCACGAGTCTAATGGCTGTACTGCAACCGAGATTCAAAAGTTGGGTTATTTAGAGAAACCAGCAGGCTCAAAACAATTTTCTGACTGTCATATTGAGGCAAATGATTCTACCAAATCCATTGAGATCAATGGCCATGACACATCCATAACCCAAAAGTCAGGTTGTTTGATGAAGCTACCGAGAATGGAACAAGATCACTACCACAATTCAACGACAAGCAATTCGATCTCATCTAAGGTTGATAAAGGACATTCTAGCCCTGAAAGGAAGTTCAGCGTCTTTGAGAAATCGAATATCAAAAAGCTCCCTGCTACGCGGAATATGAAAATTGTTGTTCATAAGAGAGAGTCCAATGGAAAAATTGGCAATGCTGCACCATCAGTTACTCTGATGGAAAAGGATAAAAAATTGGTGTCCTTAACTGAGAGAAATGGTGTGAGCAAAAGTAAGTCAATAGCGTCAGTTCATGTTGATAAGAATGGAACCTCTCCCATGGCAAGCAGTAATGGAAATATTAGGAGTGTGGAACATGATACCTTAGATGGAAGTCTATGTGGAGTTAATGGCACAAAAACCACGTTGGCATCTGCAAGGACTCTGGATTGCCAGGATTTGCTGAGTGGTTGTAGCAGCAACCCCTCTAATAACTCCGGATTGAAGAGGAAAAAACTGGGTGATCTGTGCATTTTGTTTGCCAAAGATGCTAAATCATGTGCAGAAGTGGAAGCATTCAAGGACTTGTACGTTACTTTTGTTTCTGAAGCTTTTAATTTCTTTCCCCACAATTGCACGTTTGTGGATGTTATCGAGGAAAGCTTGAAACATGGACATATTTTTAACTTCATTTACTCCAGAAGTCATTTAAGATGGCATCAGTTCTATAAGCAGTTTACAGTGTAGTGGGCCAAAGAAGGGCAATCTATCTTTTAATATATTTAGCCCCCGTTTGATCTACATTATTATCTCATTAAAATGAAAAATATGACCGTTATCCATCACATCAATATTTAAATTCAATTTTTCTATCTTTTACGTGGGCCCCAATAACGGCTATATTTTGTCATTCTCATTCTACAATAATTTGGCTCAAACATGGCTTTAAAAAGAGTGTTGCTTTAGCCAGAATGCTATTTCTACAATATTATACCATCATAACATGTTCTTTTCTGTTACTGTATGTGTCAACTAGCTGATCTAGAGGTGCAGAGTGAAATAGTTCTCCCTCACAAAAAAGGCCCAACATCTTTTAAGATTTGTGTATGTTCCATTGTCGAATAGCAAATTTCTTTTTGCCATGGATCAGTACAAACTACCTTTTGTTTGTGGATTTTTTTTTCTTGTCATAATTAATCATTTGTTTTTAGTGAACAATATTATCTCTTATGATCTTGTGAGGCGTCAAAATACTTCCTTTTACATTCTTGTCTTGTGTCCATGATTCTTTTATTGAAGCTTTGACATTGGTTTATTACCCAAGATAAATTTGTTTAAACTGAAAATTTTCACTTTATTTTCATTGGGAAATTACACCCGGGGTCCCAACCTTTTTGCAATGTAGCTCCTTTGTTCCCAATTTCTACTGCAGGCTAGGCCTGGTGTGAAGTTCATCCTTGAACAGTGGGATCCTTCTCTTATTTCAACTGTTATGAAACATTAGCATATCTTGGCTGTATAATTTGAAAAGATTATCATATAACCTTCATTTTACGGCTTTATTTTGTGTGTTGTTTGTGGAATGCTTTGCTTCTTTCCATAAGTACTGGTAATATTTCAAATGGACATCGCTCATACTATGTTTCAACAAAGTGATTACTAATTATTACTTTTTGTGTTCTCCAGAATTGGGAAAGAAGCTTCCTTATTTCTGCGATCCTGTGGTTGGTCTGATGAAGTTTATAAATTCATGCACTCAAGCAAAAAGTTGTGTGCACAAGAAGCAGGCAGTGAGACATCAAATGACCATGAGAAGAAGTAAGTTTTTGCATCTCTGACTTACCTGTTTAAAATATGACTGTTTATCTTTAGAGTTTAATTCATTTTCTGTGCAAAGGAGCATTTGATGCATTGCGCCTTCATATAATAATAGTTCTGCTTTTTGATTGTCATAGATATAGTAATATATTGGTAACAAGTAACAACTATTCTCAATCCTCGTAGTCTCAAAATCAGAATTATTGAACTTTTCTTTTATGTAACTTAAAATTAAACAGAAAAATCATCGTATAGTTGAGATCATTGACACAAGTGATCAGCATATAATCACCTGATATTAGTTTTGAATTTATAATTCTTCATATTGACTAACATCACTTGGGAAGTGACTCTGTGTGTCGACCTTGTGACCAGGTGTGTTGAAATGTGAATTATTAGATAACAAGTACATTTTGTATAATGACAATTAACGGATTACCTGCTGTTGCTTCTTAATAACTTTTGTTTCACTTGCTTCTTAATAACTTTTGTTTCACTTTCAATATTTTTTTCCCACCAAGTCATATCATACGTACTGTTCGATTTGGGTGGGCACCTGTCCACTTACCCTTTCACGGCTTTCTATTGCGTCCCTCGGGAGACATCTGCCTAATGAGTGACTTAAATTGAATCTTGGAGGACGCGATAGAAAGTCATGAGGAGGTAAGTGGGAAAATACTCACCCAAAGCGGACAGTACATATGGATGAAGATTTTTTAAAGCTTGTTTGGGAAGTTTTTTAATTACTAATACATTTTGTCAAATCTACTTTTTTTATCCATACTTTTCATGGGATCTACAAGTGCTACCCATTTATCCACTAGTTTATATCGGTTCATAATTTAAATTGATTATAATCACTTCCTAGACAAGTGCTTATTTACTAAAGATAGTTAACAATTTTTAATAATTTATGGTCTAATCAAATTGAAATCCCACCCCCCTTTTTAGGGGAAAAAAACCTAAGCTCAAGGGGGCTTCTAATAAACTTTAACTTTGCCCAAATATCAAAACTAATTTTATTTTATTTTCCCAAGATACATATCTAATAATAGTAGTCTTTGACTAGCATTTCTTTCTAGTTGAGAGAACTTGATTCTGAATAGTTATACCTTAAATAGCTATCTAATAGGGAAGATGTTTTTGGTGCACCAAGTACCGACAATGACCATTCGATGGCAATGTGGTGCCCACATTCCATAAAAATTACCAGTGGGAACTATAGAAAGGCTGCGACACGAGGATGTACTAGAATATTGAGCTGGTATGTAGGAACAAATTAATGTTACATCAAAAGCTTGAATGTGCTTCGATAAGAAAGCAATTATTCTACATTGAAAATACGACTTTTATTCAAGTGATGGCTAGTCAATCAAAGAAAGAAGAATCAATGACTTAGGATAAGATGACAATAGTACAATAACCCTCTACTTTGTGCTGGTTATGTGCATCAACAATAAGATCATAAGATTAAGGGAAAATTGCAGCCATGGTACCAAACCTTTCACATTTTTGCAGACTTTGCCCAAACCTTTGTTTTGTGCAACCCACGGTACCAAATCTTTAAAAAACTCGCATAGTTGACCGTTAGTTGACCAAGAATAGTAGATTTGACCAAATTTTAAAAGGGCAAAATGGTAACTTTCCCTTTTCTCATATAAAAAAAAGAACTAAAATAAAATCATTAAATCAAAAATCATAAAACCTTATTATCTTCTCCAACCACCCTACCTCACCCCTACCCAACCCAACCCAACCAAAAACTAAAATTGTCGGCACAACTACTGGCACCACCGCCTCATCCTCCCACCACCACAACCGCCATCACCTCCTCCCACCAACAACATTACAGAACCCCTGACAATTTTGGTTGTTAGTAAAAGCGGGGGGACGTACCAAACCATCCGGACGAGAAAGGCAAGCAAGCAGCATTATTAGGATCAACTCCATGAGCAATAATCGATCGATTAAAATCTAAACGAGAAAATGGAGCCCAGATGACTGTTTGCATATCCTCCAGAGTGATTGGGTTTTTGATTGATGTCAAATTGGGTTTCTTCCCCAGGATTCGATTCTTTGAAATACACCACGGTGAATTACTGGTGCACTCGAGTAACTCTAGCTTGTTCGACAGTGCACTTGGTACATGATACACAGTGAAAATCAAAAGAACTGCACTGAAAATGAAAAACAAGCATCCGACGAAACTTTTCCCTTCCATTTTCTCACTATCTTTGAGTACACTGCGTTCGCAAAATGTGGTGGTGGGAGGAGGCGATAGCGATCGTGTTGGTGGGAGGATGAGGCGGTGGTGCATGTGGTTGTGCCGGCAATTTTGGTTTTGGGTTGGATTGGGTGGGGTGGGGTGGGGTGGGGGTGGGGTAGGGTGGTTGGAGAAGATAATAGTGTTTTATGATTTTTGATTTAATGATTTTATTTTAGTTCTTTTTTTTATATGAGAAAAGGGAAAGTTATCATTTTGCCCTTTTAAAATTTGGTCAAATCTACTATTCTTGGTCAACTAACGGTCAACTGGACGGAAACTATCCATTTGGACTGTAGGTGCGAGTTTTTTAAAGGTTTGGTACCGTGGGTGGCACAAAACAAAGGTTTGGACAAAGTATGCAAAAATGTGAAAGGTTTGGTACTGTAGCTACAATTTTCCCTAATATTAATTATAGCTCTTGTTTGAATCTCATCATGAATATTGTGAAGATGATTAACAAAGTTTAGAGCTCAAGCAATGTCTTTAATAGCCAGCACTTTAGGATCAATAAGGAAATATTACAATCGAACAATTAGGGAGAAAAGCAATGTTGTATCCAAATTTTTATATGCTATGGTTTAATAGAACTTCATATCTTATGTTACTCAAGTCTTGATGATGGACTGTATCGATAGTTCAGATATTGTTACCCATAATATTGATCGGATTCAAGACCAAAAAGAGGAAATTTGTTCATTAGGTTTAGAGATGAGTGATTTATCATGTATACGGTATTCTATGATGTTCAAACTCTTCACTTTAGGCGCCACACCTGTGTCAAGACGCCATGGCAAAGTACTGGTATAGGATATGGATAAGATCCTTCAATTTGCAAGCAAACATGGCAGCCTAGGATGGTTGCACAGTAGCCGTGCCACCACACCAAAATTTCACATTGTAAACGAACAATAAAAATTAGCCGAACATTAATAGAATTTAAGAAAGAATCTTGAAGAAATTTATACTTAATTCTCGTGATGAGTGATGTTGAAACTTAAACCGAAGGAAGAAGACAAGAGAAGATTCATTTGTCATTGTTGACCACTCAAAAGCACATAGGAAAGATGGGAAGATATTTGTAAAGGGGAAGCGGGAGAGACAAGGAGGAAGGGAAGCTTGCAAAATTGGAAATTTGGTATGTTTCTTTTGGAAAATATAGGGGATCAAGATGAAGAAGGATATTTTTTTTGGAATTGGTAAGGGGAACGAAAGGACACTTTTTACTGGGGTGAGGAATTAAAGGTTTCTAGAGGGATCATCAAGAGGAAATTTATTAATTGGGGTATAGAGATGGAAGAATTATCATGTATATATTTATATTGGTATCAAATCCCGAAATAGTAATGAGTTGAAAGAACGACGAGATTGCAAAAAGTAAGTTTTCTTGCATTTATTACTAATGTACTTTTCATTTTGTCTTCTACCTCTTCTTTACTTCATATTTTTGCAAAGACAATTAGTTAAAATGTCCCCCTCTTGATTTTCGACAGCGTGCTAGCCATTTGAGAAGCCCATAAAGCGAAATTATATGATTTTTTGAAACCTATATTAACTTCGAACAGATTTGATCAATTTTATACACAAGCTAGAGCCATTATCCATCAAGGAGTATGACCAATAGATTTGTCACTTGGATTTTGAACACGGCAATATGTCCCAAATTGAGAATATGACTAAAAGAATCTTCTAAAAATTTGACATCTAACTAGCTAGGGATATATTGCACCACTTGAATAGTATTTTAATGTTGAATAATATCGTTGAACAAGTCCTTTTACCATGGTGTCTACTCTTTCATCAAGTGAGGAATCATAGATTTTACAATTGGAAAAATTTGGTATGCTATCCTCCTTTTCTTCTCTTCATCCTTGACAAATGAGCTATAGGCCTAACAGGGGCACTACAAGAGACATCAATGAAAGAAGAGGATGTTCCATGGGATATTTCATTGATAGGTGAGCTACAGGGCCACAGGCCTAACCAGTAAAGCTCTATGCGAATGATAAGAAAACTCAACCTGAACTCCAGAACTTAATTAGATGCCAATGGAGAAAGAAGGCAAACACAATCCATATACCCACGTTTAAGGGGTTGAGATTTAGATCATTTACATTGAGGGGAACAAGGCATTAATTACTCCTAGAATCACGTGCCTTGATAGTTAAGAAGTTGCATAATCATCGGCATAACAAATTCCGTTGGATCATATTAGTTCTCCATGTTGAATTTGGTATGGATATAAGTTCTTTATTATCCTATTCTTGATGATAATTTGATATTGATTAAATTTTTGATCATCAAGAAGCAATTCATTATTGAATGTCGAGACTAAAGATTTATTATCTATATGGGATTAAATACCGAGTTATTGTGATGCTACTTCATTCACATAAAAAAACAACCATAGTCACGACAAAATGTTCCATCTTCATCTGTGAAGGGAATAGAAAGCTTAGAAGCCCATGAAGTCAAAATCATCCTAGTCTTAAGAAATCAATAATAACTTGTTAACCATCTCATGTCAAAATCTTTTTGCCCTGATCTGATACCATATTGACAATCTCATTTACAAGTTTAAGCTATTAAAGAGAAATCACATATATTCGTTTAATTTGTAGGCAATTAGATCTTGAGTTCTTGTGAAGTACCCACTAAATTATGGAAGTGAAGTTTCTTGCTTTTATTGCTACTACACTATTCATTGTAGTTCGTCCTCCTTTTCTACTTATCATCTACGTGAAATTTTTTTGTTCAAAATCAATTTAACGCCATTCAAGAAGCCCATGAAGTCAAAATATTTTAACTTTTAAGAAACCTAGCTTCACTTAGAACAAGATCGATCAATTTAAAAGTTTCTTATAATTTTTCAATTACTTGAAGAGTTGTCGTTTTTCCTTCAAGTTAATGCTTGAATTGAGTGATATTGTTATTCATGCTATTACATTGATTAGATAATCGAGAGGTTCATTTATTGTATTTACACGCAAAAGATTTACTATAAAAATCCAAAGTGAATTGTGAATTAAAAAAAATGGGATTGGAAGTAAATTTTTTTGCATTTGTTACTACTGTACTGTTCATTTTAGTTCTTAAAACTCTTCTGCTCATCATTCATAGCATAAAAAAGTCACTCACAATGTTCCTCCTTTATCCAAGAAGGGTATAGAAGCTGTACTTGAAGGCCATGTGGTCAAAATCATCGTACTTGTAAGAAATCTAGATTCACTTGGAACATTTGATCAATTAAAATTTTCGTATAGTTTCTCATTGACTTTTGGAGTTATCATTTTCCTTTTTTAATGCTTTTAACGACTTCAGAAGTCATCCAAATTTTCATTTTAACTTTCTTTCTTGTTTCATATTTTATATTAAAGGGTGCCTTAGCATGTTTCTTATTTTCATTCAATTCGTCCCTTTTCCTTCCTAAATTCATCCCTGAAATTCAAATCATCATTGTGGTCCCTTTCCAATCTGGTACATGCCCTTTTCCGTAAATTTTAAAGGACGCATTACATGTGTGTTTTTCCCAAGATACCATGCTTGTATTTTTCTCCAGGATGTTGTGTTTTCATGTTTAATTCACGATGTACCTATATTTTTTTCCATGCTTGGCTTTTTGGAACACAACCATTCGAATATTATATTGAAGGTAATAATCATTTCTCACAGTGAAAAAGGGCAGGAAGATAATTGTTGATTCCTTCATCAATATTTTGCAGATTGAATTACCTTTTATATCACTTGTCAAAGATTAAGAGAGATGTAGTTTGTCACCCTGGATACCATTGGTGATGGAGTTTTATACTGTTACTAAGGAGTTATATTCTTAGACAAAAGTAATTTGGTCGCACTAGTTCATGATTGAGTGAAGTAGGAATGTCAAGGGGGCGGGGCAGCCATTCCCCTCCCCCGTCATGTCGGGTATTTTTGTCTCCTAGCCCAGCCCCATACCCAGTTAAGACAAGGCAAGGCGGGGCTGGGCAGGTCCCCTATCCCGTCTACTGTTCCATTTATTTTTATTTTTATTTTTTTAAATATTTTTAGTTGGTGAAAATCATTATTTTTTCAAATTATAGAAAATTTCATATTTCCTCTAGAAATGATGATGATTCTTTGCTTTTTGGAGGATAAAAAAATTGTATTTTGAAATGAACTTTAAACGGGGCGAATAACGGGACGGAGACCATGTTCTCCGTACCTGCCAGCCCTTGTCTCGGGGCAACTACTCCCTTCCTGTCCTGTCCCGCATACCCGATTAGGCAGGGAATGGGATAGGGCCCGCGGGTATCGGATATAATGGATTTTTTGCCATCTCTAGAGTGATTTTCCTGAATCTTTCTATTCTTTCCCCTACTTTATCCAAATTAGAAACTCCAACTCATGTACATGGTGTGACTGCAGGAGGCTGTTGATTTCAAGTGCAAAGCCAAAGTTTATTTCAAAAATTCCTGAGTCACTGAAGGCCAGCCTAATTGAGCGTCTCAAATCTTTTAGCGGAGATCATCAATCGTCCAGATTTTAAGCAAACAGGTATGATATGCAGTTCTCATGTTCAAGTTTAAATTATTCAATACTTATAAGCCAAATAAATTAAAACGTTACTACTGGCTCCAACATTAGTAAATGTTTCTGCGAGTTTTTGACAGGTATCAAATCCATTTATCTCACTATAAGTTTATCATTTTGAATAACTTTTAATCATTATTGTAAAGATTAATTTTGCAGTTTCTGGACAGACGGTGGGACTGGTATTCTGTGCTGTGTATGATGACATAGAGGTGAACGATAATGTTATATTATATTGGTGATGATGAGATGGGCATTGTAGCAGCATCAAAACCTCAGACCTTTGCTGTTGTAATTTCCTGTGGTGGTAGCTAATCGGCCAGTGAAAATTGGGATCAAAGAGTTCAGTTTAAAACTGGCCAAAAGTTTTCTCCTTGAGGTGGCCCAGTTGTTGTTGATAGAGCAAAGAAGAAATTATCAATTTTGTACTCCATTCATTTTTTCAGTCGATCAATCTGATGCATTGCAGTTTTCCCATTAAAAATGCGGTCGAGGATAATTTCTTGATAAATTCTGTCGATATTTACTGTTACAGAATGAGGATGTTAATATTTGCAATCTATTGAGGGAGCTTTGGCCTTATATTAAGTATTTTGTTGTTGTCATAACTTTGGACTCTGGGCGTGTCTCTTTCCAGGAATAAGCCATTTTAACAGTATTTTTTGCTCACCTACTTGACAAATGCAGTGTTGGCAATAGATGATTGGATGCAAATGGAATGTTTTTTAAACAGTTCAATGATTGAATGCCATGTAGGAGGTGGGCAAATAATTCTGGCAATGTAGCATGGTTGTTCTATACCTTCCCTCCCAAAGTATGCTCATCTTAATTTTTTTATTTATTTAATTGATCAAAAGGATTTTCACTTTCCACGGATACTGTTTTAATAAAAGCTAGTTTTCTTATTTGGCATTTCATTCGCTCTTTTAGATTTTGGATGTAGTTTTCATTATAACGTCCTTTAAGATGAGATTGAATTTGAGAATATTGTTTTATCTAATTTTCTGTTAGTGACTTCAAATGAACTGTTAGAGAAGTGCTGCATTACCAAAAAAAAATCCAACAGAATTGCAACAGAATATTCACACAAGGGTGGGGTCCGCACATTTTTTTCTTTTTCAATACGCGCGGGACCCACTGTTTATCTCTATTCTGTTGCATTTCTGTTGGATTTTATTACGTACAAATTGTTTTCCCCTTAAATAAATAAGCATAAAAATAATTATTGAAAGATGAATTTTCATTTAAGCACCCGTTTCTTCATTTTGTAATTTTTGTTTGTGTTGAAGGAGTTTAAGAGGGGTATGCATGCACGTTATTTTATTACGTAGGAACTGTTTTTGATATGTTGGACCGAAAAGGATTTTGGAGGTGGTTCATAGTTTAGTTTTATGAGTAGCCATGTTTTTCATGTCTAATACAAGTTGATTTTACTTTCAATGATGATCAAAATATTATTGCTTGAACGGGTTTTACATCCTTTGAGAAGTATTTATAAATAATTTATTGTAGTGTTTAATCTTGTTCAACGTCAAAGTCCGGCTTCCCCTTATTAAACCGAGGTTATTTATATTGTCTTACGTAACAGTGTAACACAAACGTGTGCGTTCTCGAACCTACTAATTGAAAGTACGGAAGCTCATTGCAGAGGTGGCACGCTTAGAAACAATAACCCCACCAAACCCCACTACCACGCCCACCTCTAGAAATGCCTAGAAAATCTCATAATTTCGAGAATAATCATTCGGAAAACGTATCAAAGCCTCCGTTTGGATCAATTTTACGAATTTCTTGTACTTATCCTCTCTCCATTTTCCTCTATAAAAAGCCAGCTACCAATATATAGCCAACACAGTTAAGCTCAGTGTTGACCTCATTTTCTACACATTTGACGTAGACAACAGATATCGGACACACTCGCTTTCTCTCAAGCTAATTCTAATACGCGTAGGATGATTGTCTATCAATAATAAATAGGATACGAACGTGGGAGAAGCTTTGTAACACGAGAAAGGGATGTTCGGGCTCCGATGAGAAATATGAGATAATTTGTACGATAATGAACGTCAATCAATAATCAAACTCACTAATGCGATACTTCAATCACTAAAAACACTAAGTTAATCATAAAGAGTAAATATATGGTATTTTGTCAAATATTTTTCATTACCCCCTAATTTGTGTCATTGATGAGATATTTATAGTGCTACATGTGCAATAACAATCCTCAGATGAGAGGACACGTGGCTTCATCTCTTTTACCGAAATATCATATCTAAGGTATCAATTTTGACTCCACTAACCTGGGGCGCTTTAAGTGCCCCAAAAAGAAGGCGGTCACCCCATGCTTGCTGACAAGGTTGACCTTTTTACTCATTACAACAGTCCAATCAATCAATTATAAAAGGATTTCATAAATTTAAGATCTTCAACCGTGGATTGTCACCAGCCTTAGTAGGGCCTCAGATTCTGCTTCGTTGAACCTCGCCACCTCGACAAGAAAGCTTCGTTTGGACTACAAATTAGGGATTGTCACCAGCTGTAATTGAGCCTAGGATTTATCGCAACTTCGGCAAAACCACTTCGTTTGGGCATCAAACTTGTCTTTTTATATATATGAGCTTCGATCGATCAGATTGTTTGGACTCTAGAAGACTTAACTCCACGTCGATGCCACATGGCTTCGACAGAGGGTGCTTCGGTGGGTCGGTTGAGCCAAGTGGGAACCTAAGTGACAAGACATAACAATAATCCCCCAAGTCTATGTACGATTATTCATATCATGCGTGGATTTGTATTTGGAGCCGATTTTCTTTAAAACGCATGTTCGCTTGAAAATAATATACCGCAAATGCATGGGTCGCGTTCAAGTAATAAAGTGGACTTTTTGAGTCCGAGTTGTCGATCCCTCGAGGAATATTACTTTAGATTACATGACTTTAATCAATTTAATTCTAACAATCAAATGAAACATGCACAATTAAACATGAGATTTGAAAAACGGTAAATAAATTAAAAATCTACAATGCACGTTTGCTTAGTTTAGATATAATTTTTTTGGTTAAGTATTAAATTTTTATTAATAAAGATATAATTTTTTTGATTAATTAAATAAATAATGATGTAATGTTTATGTAATTAATAAATAATTACACATTTGGCAAAAGCAACGAGCCCATTGTCAGACACAAAGAAACATTTCCGAATACACATTTGCTTTAAGTTTGGACAGCCCTTTTCGAGTGCTTCGAGGCTCAAATCTATTACCCCCCGACATGAAGTGATTGCCAAATATGCCAGTGTTTGGAGACCTCGTGCATTACCCATCACCCAAAAGCCCTTTTGGCTCACATTTTGAAGTCCACTCAAGACAAGACTCGTAATAGACTTCCCATAGTGCCCTATTACAGCAAGAGAGCAATCAGAGATGTTAAGAGTTTGAAGTTTCACCTTCATCAAAGAAGAAGCCGATGCCAAGAGACTTGCAACGCCATGATCCCTAACAAGTGGGCAGTCTTTGATTGTAATGGATTGCAGCTTAGGGCAATATTTTCCAACCGCTTGTAGACTCTCATTGCCAATGTTCAGACAAGATTCAAATGTTAATGCAGTCAAATTTGGACAGCTTTTCGCTATTGCAACTATACTCTTGTTTGAAATTGAAGGACATTGGCAAAGGTCAAGCTTCTCTAATGAATGAAATTCTCTTGCAATCTCAAATAGACCTTCATCACCAATAGAAGGGACGTTCCACAATGAAAGAAACCTGAGGGAAGGGCAAGCACGGGCAATTGCTGACAAACCAAGGTCAGTAACACCCCTATTAGAATTATATCCTCGGATCGAAAGTTTTCCTAGTCCACCGCGGCTAGAAGTACAAACTGCAATAGCAGCAAGCCTAACATCTGTTGCTTTCTTCCCTTCCACACACCTAGTTAGGTATCCATCACACTCCACTTCAAGATCCTCATCTGCAGAGATCGATTCTTTATTATTTGAGGCCAGATCCACATTCATATCATCTGGTTGTCCCTGAGGGACCTTGCTCCGGTAAAATTCAGCATTGCGGACACCACTCAAGACTGTTAGCCAGCGCTTGGAAACACAAGCAGAGGCACTTCTCTCTCGGCCTCCTGGCAAGTGTCTAAAGATCTCAAATAGGCATTCGTCTGGGAGCCTGTCAATGGATGGTCTTTTATCTTCATATACACTCCCTTCGACAACCAATGGGCCGCTGATTCGTGCACGTTTTCTAGCTGGGCAGTATATATCCACATGGAAACCAATAGATAACAAGATGCCAGAATCTCCGGAACAAAAAGGACTGCCATTATAGAAATCATCATCACCTAAAAAAGGCAAAGATACGACATCAAGAAAATTTGTTGTGTTGATTTTCAATTTAAAAAATGCTAAGAAACCCTTCATAAGATTTGAATAAGGATCTAAATTCCCATTTTGTTTTATTCGATAGAAGAGGCTAAAACTATTTCATTGATGAAGCTATGCTAAGAAATGCTAAACGAAATTAGTAATAATAATAATCCAAATTCCCCAATTGCCACATTCCATCAATCATGAAATCTATTTTCTGTTATAGCATATGTTAATTTAAGAAATTTCTATCCAGTTTTCACCTCTAATCAGCTTAATAAATTTCAGAATCTATGATCATCAAAATAGAAAATAACTGATTTTAAAATAACTTGAATTCATATATGCATAACCTTAACAACAAATTTAAGCGCACAAGGGGAAAAATTCATTAATTTTTTAAAACTTACATTTGCATATTCAAATCTAGACAATCTAAGCATCAGAAGACTACATGAATCACATAATTCGATAGAAGTGCAGGAATTTAATGTTTATTCACAAAAATCCAAATATATTTTACTATTCCCAACATTCCATATCAACCCATAAATAAAACAGAACCGAAAAATTTATAGCACAAATCAAGAAAATTACATCAAATAACCCATAAAGAAAGAGCTTCAGATAATTATTCACCGCTGTAATTAACAAGGGCAGGTATAGCTTTTTCTCAAAAGCTACAGATACACAAGACAATTAGTGTGATTTACTAAAACATCACCTAATGTACATCAGTTCCTACCAACAGGCAATGATCTGCAAGAATACGTCTCTTTGAAATCTGACTTCTTTGACGAAGTAAAAATCGATGCATACACTTCCTTGGTTGCATTTGCAGGGGCTATATCAGCTGCCTTGAACCGCTTCGCTGAACCATTATTATTATGGTTATAAACATTCCCGTCAACCCCATGTTTTGTCCCCACCAGACGCCCAACCTCTGCATTTGCATCTCCATTCTTCACTTTCTTTACTTTCTTGTTATTATCTTTCAATTTCGCGACTCAGCCCCGGTGGCGCCACCATCTCCACCACCTCCATTAAATCGGAGATGGACTGCAAGGGTGGAAAGAGGACCAATTTGTGGATTTTGAAACAGGGGAGTTGAATCAGCGAGCGGTTTTCCATTAATGCTGAAGAAAA